CACACACACACACACACACACACACACACACTAACCCACAGAAGGTAATCCTTTGAGGTATAAGAAAAGAAAAATTTAGATGTAGGAATTGAAAAGAGATACATGGAATTTAGTCACCTGCCAGTAAACGTTTTGGGCAGCAGTGGAAAGCTGAGGTTCTGGGCAGTATTGGGAAATAGATAGAACTCTGTTGACTTTTAGCGGCCCGATATCCTAGAAGGAGCGCTGACTCGGAGCCAGACCCCTGGGACCTGCCTCCCTTGCAGAGGGGTGGGGCCTCGGCACCGGGCGGGACCCCAGCCTCTCCTGAGCAGGCAGGGAGGTTGCCTACCAGCACTTATTCCCTGGTGCTCATTTCACAGGCTCCGAAGGATGAGACTTGGCCCCTCTTCCCTCTGGAGGCATGTGGATTTCCACCGCTAGCATCTGATCCGTTTTCCGTTCTCAGCGTGTTTAGCATCTATTTTCCACAAACGCTTTCCTAGATGAACTTGACCGTGCGGCCTGACTCCCCAGCCACTCTCCAAGTCACTCACAGGCTACAAGCGATCATGTATTTTGTTTCTTCGAGCCCTTTTCCTGTATTATTGTTTGCCAGCAGTAGATACGCAGCCATCATTTAGACAGCCAGCCTCACCATCCACTCAGAGACCCTGCTTGAGAAACGCGTATATATGATTGGGTTGCCTGTCTTATCCCTCAAGCGTGAAACCTTGTTAAGGGAGGGCCAACATCATGGGTGAACACGACCGTTTCTCTGAAGTTCAAAGCTGCGTGTCAGTACTGGGCCCCCGGACACAGAGGGGGTACATGCGGGGAAGGGATGGGGGTGTCCCTTGTGACTTGTCCTCTGTGCTCAAGGCCCTCACAGCCTAGCGTGGGAGATAACAGCCACCATGATCAGATCTGTACCGAAATAGGCAGCATTCACAATTCGCTTCCACCTGCTCTTCTCATGACCGGCAGAGAACAGCAGTGTGACCGCCTGTGTCATGTGTGTCTCTTCCGTCTAGGGGATACGCAACAAAGCACGTGGTGGAGGGCCTGGAACCCCGGACACTGTACAGGTTTCGGCTGAAGGTCACCAGCCCCTCTGGAGAGTATGCGTACAGCCCCGTGGTCACCGTGTCTACAACCAGTGAGTAACAAACACTCCGAACTTAACCTGTGTAAAGACACATGTAGGTGGCACCAAGGTGGAGGTGAAAACACCCTGGCCAGCCTTACACGAGGAAGCAGGCACTGTTCCGTTTGTAAACGCTGTGATGACACGGTGGACTGACAGGGCCTGGACATCGCCCAGGGATGTCCAGCGGTGCTGTAGCCAACGGGAGGGCTGTTTTTTTCTTAATTTTTATTTTTTTTTATTAGTTTTAGGTGTACAGAACAATGCAACAGTTATTCTTTTCACCCCTCAAAAGAAACAATCCCCCTCCCCCATCCACTGCCCTCCCACCCCTGATATCATGCTTATCTATTACAATTTCATTGACTCCATTCCCACACTCTACTCCACATCCCATGACTATATGTATATATAATTATAGTTGACATACAATATTATTCAACCTGAGCTTCAAAACTACAGTGCAGTGGTCAGGCCTCTACACCGTCAATGAAGTGGTCTCCCTAACAAGACATGGGTCCATCTGGCCCCCTAAAAAGTATTTACAGTGTTATTGACTATATTCCCCAGACTGTCTTTTCTATCTCTGAGGCCATATTGTAGTTACCAATTTGTATTGTCTCATCCCTTCCCCTTCTCCCTCATCCCCATCCCCTCCCAACTAGCAACCCTCAGTTTTTCCTCTGTGTCTCTGAGACTATTTCTGTTTACATTTCTCATTTATTCAGTTTTTTAGAATCCACGTATAAGTGAGAGCATATGGTATTTGTCTTTCTCTGACTGACTATTTCACTTAGCATAATGTACTCTAGGTCCATCCATATCGTTGCAAATGGTGCGAGTTCCTTCACGGGAGGGCTGTTTTCGTGCCATCACTGCCTGTGGGTGCACATTTGGTACCAAAGGGTGGAGCCTCCCCTGAGGAGATGGGAGGGGCTGAGCAGGGGTTCCCACGCGGAGAACCATCGCCTGTCACACGTGCTACGGTGACGGATGAGGTCCACTCAGGGCTTTGTCCCTTTGGGACAACTTCAGTGTGTGAGTCTTGACCTGCCAGACACACCTGATTTCTGGGGATGCTGGGAGTGAGTAAGAATGAATACAGGACACGGAGGACGTGCCACACGAGGTGGAGGCCGGAGGCTGGCCACGCGCCTCTGACCAGGGCAGCCTGTCCCCAGGTCAGATTAAGGCGGAAAATGCTCTTTGTGGTCGGTATTTTAAAATGTTTTAAAGATGTGTGTATATCCAATACCATCTTTGAACTAGACCAGGGGTCGGCAAACTGCAGCTTGTGAGCCACATGCGGCTCTTTGGGTACGTACATGTGGCTCTGAAGTCAAATTGAAAATGAAAATAAAACTATCATAGTTTCATTTATAAAATTTTTAAAGGACATTATTCATATAATGGTTATTTCATTTGTTTTATGGCTCTCGAATAATTTTTAAATTGTTGTGAGGGACAGGATTGGCTCTTTGCCTCAAAAGTTTGCCGACCCCCGAACTAGACTAAAAGACTAAAATAGTCAGAAATGTTCTTGCTGGCTCACTCTGAAAACATAGACAGGTCTTCCAGCTGCACAAAAAAAATCTTCCTCTTGTAGGTAAAATGTCATTTTAAGATTTTATTCAATGTGGCATTTGGCATATATCTCTATTTCTATCATCTCTCTCTCTCTCTCTCTCTCTCTCTCTCTCTCTCTCTCATCTCTACCTCTATCTCTATCTCTATCTCTATCTCTATCTCTCTAACTCTGTCCCTCTATCTATTTTTTCCCTGTGGGTTTTGACTGTGTCCTTTAGGTATTTATTCATGGACGTTTTTGTGTGAGTTAAAGGTAATTCATTTGAGTCAGGCTATAATATCTTCAGCTGCAAACAAGGCACTAGGGGACCGGATCTTAGTTTAGCAAGCTGGGAGTTTAGTTAAAGCCGACAGTGGCAATGCTGTGACATTCTCAATGCTCAGCTAGCTTTGTGAAGAAACGGAATTTCAGGGGAGAGCTTTGAAGTGGAACGGTCGATTATGGAGATGCACACAGGTCAGAAAAGGGGGCTTGTCCCTTAAACTGGCAACTTTGAAAGCATTGGCTTTCGTATGGAAGACAGTGAGCTCCTGGAGCTTTTAGGGGAAAGTAAAGAAGACAGAGCAGCAGAACACAAGTTAGTTCTTTGCGTGTGGAGGGGAAGCACAGAGAAGGGAGGACAAGCGGGCAGGAGAAAAGGTTGGCAAAGGGCGCCCGTTATTTGAAAAGAGACTCGAGGGGAGCCCTGGTCCAGGCTGCTCGGTCAGGCCACCTTCCAACTCCCTCCTGTCCCCCCACTATCCCCAGCCACCCACAGGCCACTCCCACACCCTCGGCCCCTTCTCTCTGGAGCCTCTCACTCCAGAGCAGCCCCCTTCCCCCAGGCCACCCCCTCCAGTCTTGTGCCTGTAGAGCCTACTCCGGGCAGAGCTGGGCTCAGGAGGAGCCCACGTGCCTTCCCCTCGGTGCCATGAACCTTAGCTCCTCCCCTGGCACAGAGCTGTGCCTCGCCACAGCTAACGGTGCGTGCCTCTTGCATCTCACTTTACGTCTTTATCTTCTTTGTCTCCCACCTACTGTGTGCTCCTGAAGGGAGGGGCGATGGGTCAGTCTGGCACGTAGAAGGTCCTTTATAAGTGGGGGATGGATGGATGGTGAATGGAAAGGCCCCGAGGCAGCATGAAGAGGAGAAGCACTTCTCAGCTCACTCCCATGTCTGCTGGGAGCTGGTCTGTTTACCACCGGCTGGGAGAGTCCACCTGAACCTGCAAGGTGAGGATGAACTGGGTGCAGAGGCGACCATGGTGAGCCTCAGATGGCCATGGGCATCCTTAACAGCACATCAAAGCCAGGGCAGGGTCTTCCGGACTTCCTGCCCGACTTGACATGGAGGCAGTTCTCCGTTTGCAGCTCTTGAGGAGGTGAGCAACCATAGTACCTGTCCATCAGCTGACAGGGGCTGTTCCTGTGGGCCAGGTAGGCCTTCTTCTTGCCAAGCCAGCTTCCAAAAGGCAGCCATGCATAACCGGCGCAGTGGTTCAGGGCGTCTGTCGCCGTGGTCCATGGCTCCCATGGGTAATTACACAGGGACAAGGGCGTGATGGAGACGGCGCTTCTGGGGATGACCCAGTGAGCTGGGGTTCCTGAGCATCTCACCGTCAGGTCACAGCACAGGTGCTGCAGCCAAGGACATGCACTCAGCCTCAGGGGCGCCCCTGGTGGTAAGGAGCAGGTATGCTCTTCCTTTCGGCCGGCCACTGCTCCCTGAGCTATTGTTACATTTACAATATCCAAAGCAGACTCTTAAGGAGGCAGACAATGCTACACAAAGAGTTAAAACTGTGCACATTGTACAGAGCAAGTGAAAATGCTTCTGTGGGTTGATAATTTGCATTCAGTTTGGAAGTGTTTTAATGAATTACAAAAGCGTGTACTTTGTTTGAATAAAGGATGCTCAGCCTTTTTTTTCCAGGTAAAGTACACGAGACTCTTGCTTAAATGAGGCATGCAATTTTAATCAGTTGGGCCCTTAAAAAGGAAAGAAAAACAGCTGGTGCTTGTTAATTGGCAAATATCTTCTCCAATGGGCTCACCATTTATTCACTGCTTTTAGTGGAGACTCAGCTTCTGCCAGGAAAGGTGTTATCATCACATTATAATCCCTGCAGCCAAACAAGCCTGTTACAGGACAGGAGCGATGGCTTCCCAAGGACCTCCGTGCCCCCACCTTTCCTGGGAGATTCACTCATTCATTCACTATTCATTCACCCACCCATCCATCCACCCATCCATCCATCCATCCATCCGTCCATCCATCCATCCATCCATCCATGCATCCATCCATTCATGATGTCCCCACTTGTGTGGTCCTGCCTGATGAGTCTCAGCCTTCCAGGGTGGGCGAGCACTCACGGACATCCCCCCCATGGGCAGCATCAGTTCAGTATTTGGAATTGCAGTACTCGGGGTAAACATTAGAAAAACAAACCCGTGAAGGCAAAGCCCGCCTCCTTTATTTTCGGCTGCAGGAACTGATGGCCATCCCTTGGGCCAGGCCCACGAAGTCTTGAGGGATTTGGGGGCGGCAGGATCAGACCGTTTGGCTCAGGCTGGAATTTCCTCTCTGTTCTTCGCCACTCCTGCCTAGAGTGGGAGTAGGAAGAGCTGTTCTGCTCTGCCAAGAGCCTCTCCTGGTCTGTTTCCCTGTCAAGTTCATGTCAACGGGGCGACCTGCCCGTGCCTCAGTTGGTCCACGCCTGCCCTGCTGGCCGTTCTTGTGCCTCTCTGCCCCCCTCACAGTGGTCAGTGCTGAGAAAGCCTTCACGCCCTGAATGACAGTTACTGCTGCCGTTTGCTGAAACTCAGCAAGCAAGGAGTGATGAACAGTTATGCAGTTCCCCGTCTTCCTTGAGACGTCCCTTTGTTCTCAGAATAAGTAATGAGAGCACTGATTGCCTCTTGGTGAAGCTGGAACAGGCAATACATTTATTTAAATTATATCCTGATAGCAAAATACTCTGGTCTTGGCTACGTGCCGCCCTCAGCGTCTAAGCACGAAATGAACTTATCTCCTTTCCCAATATTTGCACGCTGCAGAGCTTCCTGGGCGGGACGCACCAGGAAGTGACCCTACTGGGAGAGCCCTGGTGCTCAGGTAAGATAGACAAGGTGGCTCGGACATGGTCAGCGCGGACGTGTGCTGGGATGCTGCGTGTGCTCTTAGAAGTTTTTTAAAATCTCAAGAAGTTAACACTTCTCTGAGGCGCTTTAGGCCTTTAGGCACCCCCTTTCATTGAACACTTTGTGGAGTGTGTGTGTCTTATTTATTTAAGATGTCTGCTTGTATTCAAAACTTACAATGGATGGATGCATACAGTGAATTGGTCAGCTGCCTCAGTATGCACTAAATGCCCAGGAAGGAGTGTGGCCTGACGAGACCTGCGTTGAGCTCCTGCCTGGGTGACCCAGGGACAACTCACTCGGCCTTTCTGGCCCTCAGTTTTGTGGTCTGAAGGAGAATCTAAAAAGCATTGTATGAAGTCCTAGGTCCAGCTTCATTAGTAGGATTTCAGCCAGGATACCACAGTTTAAAGTTTAGTCAAAATAGGATGAGCTTCCTATGTTCTAGACAACTCTATGCAGATTACTTGTTTTTGTATTTTTAGTGGCAGTTGAAGCGCGAGAATCTCAGAAGTGGGGGCCATTTGGTGAGACAACAGACTTGCCCACCACAATGCCCTCCCCCTCCTCTCTGGGGTGCGTGAGGGAGGGGAAACTTGCCATGTGTTTCGTTTGTCCACCAAAGTTTGGATGGGTCACATAGCAGGTCATTTAAGCCATAGGACTGTAGCCCAGGGCTTCTCCCCCTGCACCGTTGACATCGTGGGCTGGGTAATCCTGGGTTGTGGGGGCCGCGCTGTGCACTGTAGGATGTTCATCAGCATCTCTGGCCTCTACTTGTAGATGCCAGGAGCACCAACCTTAAGTTGTGACAACCAAAAATATTATCAAACTTCACCAAATGTCCTCTGGAGTTTTCGGGGGGGCCAAGCCCTGCCCCCCTTCCGTAGCCCCCTGGCAGAACCACCTAGCTGGGTACGCTGTCGCTTGGAAGGCCAGGGACAGCGTGGGCCCTGCACTTTGATGGTTTATCCTGATACGTTCATTCAAAGCTTTTGGTCTAAAAATATGTGTGGAATGGTGAAAAGGAAGTGCAGTATGGCTAAAAAATCTTTTAAGAGATTGGCAAGCTCTCGCAGACCAAATTATTTCAAAACAATTTTAACTTGGCCTCAATTTATTTTTATCAAAAGGAAGAAAGGGTATCAGCGAAAGGTCATTCTGATAGGGATCCCTTCGTTCTTCTGTCCCCTGCCCCCAGTTTGTACTTTGCCCAGCTGAACTCCTCCAAGGAGCTCAGGAGAATGGTGGCTCCCGAGCCTGGGAACCCACGTCCCAGAGAGCTTTCCACCGAAAGGAGCAGGAGTAGGGAATTTTAATTTCCACTGGGCAGAGGTGGCCAGTGGACGCCTGCAGGCCAGGCTGTAAGAGGGAGGGGAAGTGGTGGGGTGAGCCCCAGGAGGCAGTCTGTGGTGCAGCATGGGAGGACCAAGGACGAGGGTAGAGGGTGGATGTTGTCTTTTAGGGTTTAGAATAATAACAGGCTGAATGTGCCCCCCAGCGGAACTGGCAAGGGAAGGAATGTAGTTGTCTCGTTGTCTCTGGGACCCCCAGTGTCAAGACATGGCATGTAAGTTACTTAACAGACATTTGTTGAGTGAATGGATGAGACCTTGGAGGTGAGTCAGATGAGGGCTTATAAACGCAGTGCCTGTCGGGGGCAGGTAGGTATTCTAAGTGTGGGAGGGGGCCCAGCAGAAGGCAGAGGGACTGGTAGGGCTGTATCCAACGAGGGCAGCTGCTCCACCACTACTGTCCTCAGCCACAGACACATGGTGGATACTTAACAACACACCAGGTGCTACTCTAAGAGCTGTGCTTGTATTATTTCATCAAGCTTCATCATAATTTTAAAAATGAGAAAGTCGTGGTATGTGGAACCAGTGAAGCCGTGGAATAAATGCCTTGAAAGATGGGCTTCTTTCACTTGTGCCTTTATTCACACGCTCAGCTGGCTGTTGCACTTGTGGCCCATCCTCTTCCTCAGGAGCTCATGTTCCCCTGTACAAAAGGACCCCCCCCCCCGCCTGCCCCACTTCCAGCTGTCCCTTTGCTGCTTCTCAGGCTCCTTCTCCGTGCTCGCGTCTGCCCTTCTGCCCCCACAGCTCAGAGGAGACAAGGCCAATATGACCGTTGTATTCCTGGGAAGAACTGAAATTTTGGATTCCAAATATTAAAGCAATCTGTCTTTGTTTGTTTGTTGTTTAGAGACTCTTTGGCAGGGAAAGCCAGCATGTTGTGACAGTTGTGGGGTTTTTCCTCGCTTGTAAGAGACATAGATTAAGCCTCACGAAATCTGAAAGGATCGGTTTCAAGTGTTTTTTGACATTCACAAAGCAATGCTTTCATAACTTGAAAATGTCCCAAGTGTTTAGGACAATGTTCTTCTCTTAATATGTGAAAACAGGGTCCTTTGCAGTAAAAGAAGGTATCGAATTAGAAATGTAAGATACTGGAACAGCCAAGTGCCTTCTTGGAGGTGAACGTGAACGTCCACTTAGGGCTGCAGGAGGAATATGGCCGGAACACTCTTCTCTCATTATATGTTGGGTGACTGCTTTCTGTCCGCTTTCTCCAGGAGAACCCATCAGCAGCGAGTATTTCCATCGAGCTGTCAATGTGAATGATGAAGATTTGCTGGTTCGACTACTTCAAGGAGGGTGAGAAAGCTCTACCATTTAAAAAACTGTGTTTTTAATTTTTAGTGCCCATGGAGTACAGAGAAATGTATGATGCAGCTTTATTTTATTTTCCAAAAATTTCCCCTGCCTTTGAAGCTGGCTCCAAAATTGATCTCAGGTGACTGATGCAAGTTCAGCATCATCAGTAAAGATGATGCTAGAGCCCCATGGAAGGGTGACATTTAGTAATTATTTAATGAAAACTGAGAAAGGAAATGACAAGTCTGGGTATCATGTTTTCTTCCGAGAACGAACTTCTGACTCGTGCTTAGATGCCGTAACATATCATGTAGGCAAATTTTACCCCCAAATGCCTACATCTAATTTCTAATGAAATCAAGGCTTCACTCCATCAGCTGTTTCTAATTCAAAGGCTGACAGGACACTAGGGGGATAGTGGCAGACACAGTTTCCGCAGATGGAGTATTTGAAGCCACGCCCTAAATGAAAAAGGGACAATTTTGCCTAGATCCTTGTGAGTCAGTGGTCTCTTGTGCCCTAGAAGACAAGTCGTCTGTGAATTGGGGCTCTTGTATGTTGGAGGAGAGAAGGTTTCCACAACAAGCAAAGCTGTTAAGCTGACGTGTAAGCCCCTGTGCCCAGCTTAAAAAGCGTGGGCAAAAGCGTGGGTGTCCACCCCACAGGCTTCTGCTTGTGGAGCTGAGTGTCTGCAGCCCCGATGCAGTGTCCTCTGCTAATTTAAGGGTGCCGTGTTCTTCTCAGAGTGCTTTTCATCAGCTCGCATAGCGGTTTTGAGTTGAAGGGAGTGCCTCTCTTAAGTGAAATTACAGCAATTTTCTCTCCTTTTCTTGTGAATTTAAAATATTCGGCAGGGCAGTCTAAGGCAACAACAATTTAATGGCCCAGAAGAAATTCGAATTTTTGGTAAAATGAACCATTTTAGTCACCTGTACTCCGCGCACGAGAGAAGTCAGCTGCAAATCTACAGGGAGCCATGCTGAGCATGTTAATCTTTTTTCTCTGTTTTTTCCAAGCAACGTGAAGGTCGATGTCCCCAATAAGTTTGGCTTTACGGCGCTGATGGTCGCTGCCCAGAAAGGGTACACTAGGTGGGCTTTGTCCCTTCTTATCTTTCAGTGAGGGGCTGAGCCCTCTCCCAAAGGTTCCGCTCAGGGTGGGGCTGGGCGGTAGGAGGTGGTGGAGGAACCCCATTTCTTTTCTCTTTCCAAAACTCTGCCCTGTATGGGCTGAACAAAATCTCAGCTGTTTTTCTCATAAAGCTATAGGACGTGCAGGAGAGCATGTAAAAATGTATAATCGCATGGTGAGGAAAAGAGGTAGCCATTTAATTAAATTTTGCTGTATATTTTATATGTCCTGAGAAAACTGGGTATTGGAATTTGAATTTCTTTAAAAAAAAAAAAAAAAAAGAAAGAGCAGGACTATTAATTCTGGAAAACAAACTTCCCTGATAGGTTGCTAAGGTATAATTTCACTGACACGCTCCATTATCTCTGTTCCACACAGAGATAGGCATAAATACTCATAGCTTCTTTTTCAATCATATTTTAACCACTAAAATGCCATTATGAAAAAAATATAAATGTTTCTCCATTAAATGCTGTCATTTGAAAATATATTTAAGGTGGTCATTGAAGTGACAGTGGACTAGTTTGATAGTCCAATTTTTTTACATGCCAGAGTTTGTTTTCAGTGAATAATTCATGTAAAGGGTAACCCCCTGACCCCACCTTTTTTTTTTTTTTTTTTTAGGGTGAGGAGGTAGTTTGCTGCTGTGCCCTGTCTTTACAGCCAGCTGGTCTCTAAAGATGGAGAGGGATGTGTTGGGAAGACATGTCATAAAGACAATGGGATTAGTTTGACTGGATTATCGTGGGTTTCTACTCATTGAAGCTGCTTATCCAGCTGTGTTTAAATTTGTCCCCTTTAGGCTCGTGAAAATCCTCATTTCTAATGGCACGGATGTGAACATGAGGAACGGAAGTGGCAAGGACAGGTAGGTGGATGGAAAATGCCAGAAATGTTTCCATATTTGTGTTGCTAGGCTTCTGCTCAGAGGGTTTCTGATTTAAAGCAAATATTTGATCATGTCCTTTGACAGTATGGAGAGAGAAAGTACCATGTTCCAGAGGAAGATGGCAGTGGCAGAACTGTCTTACTCATTTGTTCTCTTATCCAACAGGGTATTTATGGGGTATCTGTTATATGACAATGCACAGACCTCCCCTCAATCACTGCCTAGTGCGCGAGCGCGCGCACACACACACACACACACACACACACACACACACACACACACCAAGTGCTCCGTACACGGTAGTTATTAACGTGGCATCACCAGCTCTGTGCTGGGCATTCGGTTGTAAGTACTTGTGGCACTTTGTACCTCCCTAAGGGCCGTCATTGAGTTTTGCTTTCCTCTGTGAACTAAATTTCTAGTGTTTCCACAGACGCTAATGGCAGGTACGGGCTGAGTGCCTTACAGGGGGTCATGAAAGCAGCATGAGTTTAGACGTCATTACGTACAGATGGAAGAATGATTTAGAAAGACTTAAAAATGGTCACTAACCCAGGAATCAGGTTTAATTAATTAATTTAAATCACCAATTGACACTTGGGTAGAACAGTGAACAAAATGCAAAGCTCACAGTCATATAACGTACACGCAGAGCCAAGGTTTGTGCGCTGCAACCTAGTGTTTAAAGGTAGCCACCAACACTGATCGTACATGGTAGACTGCCAAGAAAATACCAATTTCTAAAGTCAGCATACTAACTACACTCGCTGGATACAATGCAGAAATAGATTTTGAATAATAATGTTTAAGAAATCACTTATAAATTTAAACAGCAGTTTTCCAACTAGTTCCTAGGTAATGTTGGAACTAAGCCATCCACTCAAGAGGGCTGAAAAAGAATAATAGCAATTAAAAAAAAAATGAAAAGAGAAAAAGCTTGAGAGATAGGAAAAGGAAAGAATTAAAAGTAGACATTGATTAATTACAAAATAAAGATTGAGATGTGTGAGAGCTGCCTCTTAAACAAAAAATTTCTTTAATAGAATGGACTAGTTTCTTATAAATCTAAAAAGAAAAAATTAGAAAATTGAAAAGGTATATAACTGTGGTTATAGAGGAAATTTAAACATGAAAAGCAAGACGGGGCATTTGCATCTAAAGTAGTAGTTTGATCATTTCATTGAAATGGCTACTTTTCCTGAGAAAATTGAAACCACCAACATCAACCCAAGAAGCAGAAAATCTGAAATAGCCAATACCCATACAAGAAATTAGAAAGTTTATTAAAGGATTACCTCCAACATGGCGTGACTGTTCTACCAGTCAGCTTGTTTCGTTTTCTGGGTACTGATAATAACCTTGAACTTGTCCAGAGCAGAGAGGAAGCTGGAAAGCTAGAGGATAGCCTTATTGCTAAAATCTGATAGTTAGAGAAAGCAAGCTATTTGTATGTCTGCATGTGTGAAGACTTCTATACCTCTCCCATTGCAACTAAGAGGACCTGCAGGAGGGTAAGGATGTCTAGTGGTAGGAAGTTTCCCATCATGCTTCTCATCAGTAGACTAAAGGTGAAAACCTCTGTGTATGTAGATGCAGAACAAAAATTCGATGTGACTCATCACCTTAAGATACTTTAAAAAGTATCTTATCTTTTTAATGTGCAGGATGCTTTCAGCCCTGAGACAGTGTCTGTCATATGGGAGCACCAGCTTCCCTGCTGAAGGAGTGACCCCTTTGATGGCATCGCACAAAGTTTTCTATCATCTCAGATGACCAGCTGGTGTCACCCTTCAGTGTTGACAGATTCCTTTGAAACATCAGTAATGAAGCCCATGAGCGTGGTCGAGAGACAGCTCCATGTCAAATCCCAGTTCCTGCGTGGATGGGGTGCGTGCCCCTGGGCAGGTTGTTTAACCTCTCTATACCTCAATTTCCTCATCTATAAATTAGGGATAATAGAAGTACTTGTAGGCTTATGAGCATTTAATGAGTTTGTATATGAAAAAATGCATAAACTGTGCTGGGCATATAATAACTACAAGCCGTATGTCGCTATTTCATGATTGGTATTTTGGAAGGCTGATCAGCTTGGCAAGATACGAAACGAGGTGAGAGGTATGGTTCCTTTCCTATAGAACCAAAGAGTATCAACTTTCAAATATTTGGACTTAATAAGGAGGTTCCATAAAATGGGCAGCTATAAAATAAAGAAAAAATTTTCTTAAATAACGGCAATCAGTAACTGGTTCATAAATAGGATAAGGGAAACAAAGTAGAATACAAAATAAAATATCTGAGAAAAGTGAGAAATTTGTATACAAAAACCTATGAAAACTTACTGAAAGATAAAGATTTTAAAAATAGGGACATATACTATATGCCAGAATGGCAAGATCAAATATAAAATCTTGTTTTTCCCCAATTAAATATAGGTTCAATGTAGTCTCAAATGGAATTTTTCTTGAGAACTTGTCAAAATGATTCTGTAATTTACCTGGAAGAACAAACAGATGATACTAGCTATCAAAACTTTGTCAAAGAAGAATGTGGAAGGACTTGCTTTGACAGTTATTGAAATGCCTCATACACTTATAAGTAATTCAAGTAGTATGATACTGGTACAAATAATTGGGAAAAAAAGATGAATAGAATGGAATATAAACCCTAAAATCAATTTCCATATACATTGGAATTTAGTAAGTGACAACGGGGGCAACACAGACCAATGAGAAAGATGCTGGAAAAATAGGCTATTTGAAGAAGAAAAAAATTAAGCTAAATTCTGGTCTTACAGCATAGCATGCACTCAAATAAATTCCAGGTGAATTAAGAATTAAATGTGAAGGGCCGGCTGAGTGGCGCGATGGTTAAGAACTCGCTTGGGATGCCAGAGGGCCCCGGTTCGGATCCCACATATGAGGGCCAGTGACACTGCCCTCTACAGCTAAGATGCTGAACAACAGCTCAACCTGGAGCTGGGCTGCCATGAGTCGCCGGCGACGGCGTGGGCTGCAGTCCCTGTGGCAGTGGATTGCAATGGGCTACCGTGTGTGGCCAGCAGCCAGTGTGAGCGGCCAGCAGCCGCAGTGAGCGGCCGTCCAGATGCCGGCGACTGATCTGCCTCGCCAGAGAAGAGCGCAATGATGGTGCCAACTTGGGCCAGTGAAGCAACGTCTTCCACAACTAGATTGAAGAACAAAACGACAGCAACTTGCCTGTTCCCCTTTCCCCAATTCCCCAGCACTGTTCCCATCCCCCCAATTCCCCAATAAAAATCTTTAAAAAAAAAAAAAGAATTAAATGTGAAAAACAAAACCATAGAAAACATAGGCATATATTTATCTGATCTTATAATGTGAAAGACTAAAGGATTATGAGAAATCACTAAGAAAAAGATGAAGAATGCATTATACATTTAAAAAAACTTCATTACAAAGTTAAGGACAATCTGGGGCAAGATTTGAAAACATGGACAAATGAAAGGCAACTTTAATATATAGAAAGTACATACCTATACTTACACCCCCAAAAACTGTACACAGTAGAAAAAGCAATTTACAGAAAAGACAATTCATAACAGATTAAATTCAAAATTCATATGAAAAATTGTTAGCCCTGCTAGTAATAAAAAAAAGTCCACCTATCATAGTATCAGTTAAAAAATGATAGTAGTGTTGGTATAGGGTGAGAAAAATGGACACTTTCAGATACAGTTGAGACAAGTGTGAACTGATGTGACCCCTCTGGAAAGAAACTTAGTGATCAGGACGCATCACATGCAAGCACCCTCAGCCCTGGGCAGGTGAAGGGCCCCTCTCTTCTGCCTTAAGGACACAGGGATGTGGCCGTCAGGTTCCATTCCAGCCCTGCCTGGGCTCGGGCATTAGCATTGGACGTTCCATTTATCACTCAGAGACCTCGTACCATTTCCTGTTGGGAGGACCTTCCTCATCCCAGTGCTTTATTATATAGAGAATTCCAAACATTTAGAAAAATTGACAGAATAGTACAATAAACAGCTCATACATTGCATCTGGTTGTTCTCTCTCTTTTTGTCTCTTTTATTATTCTGGACTGGTCCTCTATCCTTTAAAATAAATTTTTTTCTCATAGCAATGACTTCTCAAGGGGATCAGACCAATCATGTTATAGAACACAGAATGCCCCATGTTCTTCATTTACCCAATTGCCTCCTAGTTGTGGAAGAGGCATTTAATTTGTTCATTCATCCATTTGTTCCCAATGCAGAGGGTGCCAAAAACATGTATACACATTTTAAGAAAGAAAAAATCTATTACAATTGTAATACTCAATATATACCAATAACAAAAGATGAATACAAGTCACGTTTGACTTCTGCAATCACAAGAGGTGCTCAAAGTGGTTCCCATCAGCGTCCAGACACTTCTGATTACAGTGAACTATTGCTTGAGCAGAGTTGACCAAAGTGTCCACTTGTGTACATTTTTTGTCACACCTGCTATTTAAGTTAAGATTAGGGTTAAAGGCTTGATTAGCTTCAGGTTGAATTGTGAGCATGAGCCTTCAGAACTGGTGTTGTGGCTTCGGGTTGCGTCCATCAGGAGGTGTGTGTTGCAGGCTGTCCCACAGTTGGTGGCTCCAGACTTGGTCGTCTGGTTAGGGTGCAGCAGCTAAGTCTCTCCTCTGTAAAAGTGCAGTTTCCCAGGGCAATTAGAAGATAGTCTCTGGGACAAGAATTCAGCACTGTGTGAAGATCCTGTTCTCCGCTAACCTTTCATCCGATAATTTTAGCCCCCATGGATGGTCCTTGCCCAAATCAGTTATTTAACTGGGAGATACAAAAAAAGTGATTTTCCAGTTCCATGATACCTTCTATATTTATTAGCTGGCAGTCTTCTGTGAAAAAGAGCTTTTCTTTATCAACTGGGAATGGGCTGTAGTTCCTCATGTATCGGCAGAGTAAATGTTTACTTTTTAAAAATACCAATATTTAGAGTAAGGAATTGGTTTTATAGGTGTCAAATGAGTATCCCCACCCCTTTCCGTTTTTTGAATATCATCGTGAACTGGCAATGTTTTAAAATCTAATATTTTATTGAATTACAGTGATAATTTTTTATTGTGATGTAATTTACATACCATGGAATTCTCTCCTTTAAAATGTACAATTCAGAATTTTAAAATATATTGACAGAGTTGTACTATCTAATTCCAGAACATTTCAGAAAAAGCACTATACTTCATGAGTAGTCCCGCCCCCGTTTCCTCCCCGCTTAGCCTGTGGCAACTTCTAGTCTGCTAGTTCTGTCTCTCTAGATTTGCTTTTCTTCACATTTCATATAAACGGAATCACATAATATGTGGGCTTTTGTGTCCGGCTTCTTTGGTTTAGCATCACGTTTCAAGGCTTATCCATGCTGTAGCGTATATCAGAACTTCATTTCCTTTTTAGGGCCCAATACTACTCCATTGTATGGGTGTACCACATTTTGTCCGTTCACTAGCTGATGGACGCATGTACATTTTGTATGAATAACTTTCATGTCTTTTCCACTACAAATGAAGACTCCTTTCTCATGGTTCAGCCAGGCAGGGTAGCGTTGGACCTGGGCTTGGCGCCTGTACTTATAGCCAAATGCTGCCTCTTCCATCTGTTGCAGCCTGATGCTGGCATGCTATGCGGGACACCTGGATGTCGTGAAGCATCTCCGACGGCACGGTGCTTCCTGGGAGGCCAGAGACCTGGGCGGCTGCACAGCTCTGCACTGGGCCGCAGATGGGGGCCACTGCAATGTGATTGACTGGATGATAAAGGACGGCTGTGAGGTACGGGGTCTGCCTTCTGAGCTGCACACATGCTGTTAAGAACCTGAACTGCTGTGCCACAGGGTCCCCGAGAAGCAGGGCCCATGAGTTGAACTTAGAAATGACGGAGGAAGTTCTCTGGCTTCTCAGCCAGAAGGCCCCTGGAGCCTTGCGGGGAAAAAAAACCATCATAGAATCGACATGATAGTGAGGCTTCGGATGGTTATGGAGGAAAAAAGAAACGGTTTTGAGTCGAGAGTGGACCCGATATGTGTCTGCTCACCTACGTTCTTTATCCCTTTGCTCATTCATTCGTCTCCTCATTTCATCTCTCACCAATGCTTTATCGAGCATCTACCATGTACCAGATACCCATTTGTGTTGGGAACACAATAATATTAGGAACTCTTACAGCCACCATATTTCTTGTTGCTTCTAGAAGTAGATTATTTTATTCTTGGTTTGCTTTAAAGATTAGTTATTCCAAAAAAATTTCCAAAGAGCGAACTGGGTATGTCAAGCACCGAGCATTTCAGCTCTTACCTGGAAGTCATAAACCACACACAGGACGTGGCTGTCATTCCAGTTTTACCTGGAAGCAGGCATGCTGGTTTCATGCGATCAGAACGTCTACATTTGATTTAGCAAATGGAAGGGAGTTTGGACTTCTGAAAATGAGTAAACAGAGTTAGCTCAATTATGGTAACGGCTGATAATTTTGAAAATGTTAGTTCAAGACTTCAAAGAAGTTAAGTAAAAATTTCAAGGTGTGGAAACCAGGCACGATGAGCAAAATGCTGCCCTAATTATGATTGCCAGATGGTGTAGAGTGCTGGGAAATTAAACTGATGACCTGGAAAATAAACTCACACCGAGAAGAGTCCTGCATCCTGGAAGATGTTAGCAGATTTGTTCTTGTTTGTCTCTGAAGTGTGATTGACAGACAGCAAGGCTTAAGTTGTGGGGCCTTGCGGATTCAGGGGCCGCTTTGAGTGGGCTGAGAAAAGGACCCCTTGAAGGGAAAACTCTCAGTCCTTAAGATAATTCCTTTTTCTAACATTTCTTGTTTTCTTTGAGAAACATGCACAAAAGGTCAGAAGGATTAGCCTGTGGTGTCGGTGGTCGGGCTGGGCCACTCCCGCTGTGTGGTAGGGACAGCCACGTCCCGTGTGTGGTTTATGATGAACTCTGCTCATGCTTTGGACCCAAGTAAAAGCCTGTAGCTGAACATGAAGGTCGGCCTTTGCTGGAAGAAGGGCAGGTGTCTGCCACGCGCATTTGCATATTGGATGTGCGAAATGTGGGCTCTCTGGGCTTCAGATATGGACACACTTGTTTGGGGGTAAATTCCACCTTTTCCCGTAGCCCTTGGGCTACAGGAGTGTGTCCCCTAAATATTTCTGTGTGTCTGGCAGATGGCGGATAGATGATGTCAGCACGAGCCCCTCCGTGACCTTGGCAGATGGTCCGCCCAGGCTTTGGAATACTGTGGGATGGAGATGGGCGCTAACCAGGGCATTGCCACCACCCTCTTCCCGAATATAATAATTTCACCCTGAGGGGGACTAACTTGCGTGGGAAACCATTTCTACATTCAGTGGGTCAGCCACATGACCTTAGGAAAGGCATCTGAGTACCTGGATACTCGGTTTCATCATTTGGAAACTCGGGATAAAAATACCTACCCCATAGCAGGATGGCTCAGCTAAAAAAAAAACAAAAAAAAAAAAAAAAAAAAAAAAACCTACCCCTGTTCAACCCTCTGGACTAATGGAGGAAATGCGTGTGAACATGCCTTGAAAACTGTATAAAGCACCATGTAATCTGAGGTGACTATTTTGTTATTATTTAAATATATTGAAGCTCGCTGCCCAAAGGTTATTTGTTCTTTGCGTGATGAAGACCCTGAAGATGGTGCATTGGATAATCTCATTCATATAAATAACCTGTGACGTCCCAAGGATCCACTGGCAGCTCCTTGTTCTATTCTGATGTTTTACTAAAGCTGCGGACATCACAGACTAATTCTGGGGCAGAATGAGGTGTGTGTGTAGGTGTGTGTATGTGTGTAGTCAGTGCCACTCTTCATGGATTGATGAGGTCTTTCTTGGAACTGGAGGAGGCAGTGTTGAGATTTTCTTCTCCTAATATATTGTCTTTTAAAGCCCTGAACTGAGAGATCTCAATGCACAGCAGATGACTGGGAAATGGCCCTCTTACTACGAGGCTGATGATGTTTTGGAGAAGGCATTCGGTTAGCTAACTTTTCTGGTTGGAATTCGTGTAATAGCTCTGGTTGCTCTGTATTTACCTGTAGGTGTCTTGCCTCAAGTTAATACATATTGATAAGTAGAAGGGTGCATGTGTAGCATACTGTCTTGTGCCAGAAAGGATTTAAAGCTGCTCACAAAGATATTTGAAAGTCAGCTAAGTAAACGCTATTTAAAGAACAGGTGAAGAACGGTAGGCAAGAGAGAGGACGGTGGGGACGTCGTTGTTTCATTCGTTTTTCTGTCCCTGCTTTTCCCCATTTGAACAAAATGTAGATGACCAGCCAGCAGGGAGGCCAGGGGCCTCTCAGCACCCTTTAAAGTGACCCTAACATAGGGTCACCTTGATAAATGTGAACCCAATTAGCACAGTCCAGGCAACTCTTACCGAGTCTAGGAAGACTGCGATCTAAATTAGGGGGATTTGGGCAAGGAACTCTTCCTTTGTTTCCGGTGAGCGTTTTTCAGAGAGAGAGAGAGAGGGGGAGAGGGGGAGAGAGGGAGAGGGGGAGAGAGGGAGAGAGGGAGACAGGACTCAAGGCCTCTGTCCGTGGCCTCACAGGTGAATGTGGTGGACGCTGGCTCGGGCTGGACCCCGCTCATGAGAGTCTCCGCGGTCTCCGGAAACCAGAGTGTGGCCTCACTGCTCATTGAAGCTGGAGCCGACGTGAATGCGAAAGATAAAGGTGGAAAGACACCCCTAATGGTAGGTCTTTCTTCGGAAGGCAGCCTGGCTTTCTGTCAGGCCTGGCGGTCAGAGCTGCTTCTGTAAGGAGGTGACGCCTGGGAGCCCCGGGTTTGGCTGTGTATGGATTGCCTGCCGGCCTGTTCACAGGCATGGCAGCGTCGGTCGCCATGATGGTCTCGTCGTCTGTTTCTTACCCACCCCACTCCCCAAGGCCACTGGAGGGTCCACACAGATCGGCTCCTACACGGCCATGCTGCTCTCTGCGCTGGTCCTGCCCAGCGGCGCTCAGGCGGGAAGGCAGGGCCAGTCCCGCTTTCCCTGTGGTTGTCATCTCTGTAGAGCGAGGGTTTTCAGGGTGCTGCTGGTGGATTTCCTGGGCCTGGCTGCGGCCTCGGTGGAGACGGAGGAGCCCGCTCACAGCCCACTCGCGTTTGTTTTTTAGGTGGCAGTGCTAAACAACCACGAAGAGTTAGTCCACTTACTTCTCGACAAAGGGGCAGATGCAAGCGTGAAAAACGAGGTAAATAACTCGATCTCTCTCTCTCCAGTTTTTCCCAGGAGGGGAAGAAAGAAAACATACATATAAGATAATTTTTGTTGTGTTCTCTCTCAGTTCGGCAAAGGCATCCTCGAAATGGCCCGAGTTTTTGACAGACAGGTTGGGATATTCTTTCTGCCTTTCCAGGCTCATTCTGTAGTACTTTAAACAAAACGAAACCAACCCAACCCAACCCCTGGATTGCATTCACCTGTTTTTGTTTATCTAGAATGTACTCTCCTTATTAGAAGAAAGGCAGCGAAAGCAGATGCCTAAGAAGTCGTCGGTCCCGTCTGCCCGCTGACCCGGGCGCTGCTCCTCTCCAAAAGCCGAGTGACACGAAGCAAAACGTGACTGTTGAACTAGACAGATGAAATACTGCGTCTTTGAGGGCTATGCATTTGATTATTTATTTAGTTGAAGACTCACAGTGACTTTTGTAACGTACAACTGTTCCCGCTTTGAAATACAGCTTTTCACCTAAACACGTGAGACTGGTGTCATCACTGGGCGTCCGCAGGACGGGGATGTTTTCTTGCACTTGTGCCTCTCGGAGTTAGACATGAAACAAAATATTTATGTACTGGAGCTGCACAAACATACACGGGTCTCCCGCTTCCCGCTCCTGCCCCCCACGCTGTGCTGCAGCCACGCCAGGACCTTGTGGAAATTCTTTCCCTCATGTGTTTTCAATTACGGCCTCCCCTCCCGACTTCGGCCTGGCAGGCGGGGTTGTCAGGCTGGTGTTCCCCCCTGGAGTGACACTCCTCCCGAAAGCCCAGGAGGCCATGTGCAAAGTTTTCTCCTCAGCTGCTGGCCTCACATCAAAGCGCAAAATACATATTTCAAGACTTCGATGCTGCTCTGTTAGAGGTGTCTGGCGGGGGTCAGCCTTTCTCCAACAGACCTGTCTGAGAATGTGTTTCCATATACGTAGGCCCTGACAATGAAAGACCCGGGCTGCTGGCACATCGACAGCTTTGCCAGAACGTAGTATATTAAACGTAGCCTTACGAGCAGAAAGGATTTTGATGCTGATCACACAGTTCAGAGAGAAGTACGAATTAACCGCAGCGAGGTCTGCCGGTTGGGAGCTGAGACACAAATGTGGGGGAACTTGAACTCAGCAGGCACACTTAAAAGTCAGCCGCGTGAGCAAGCGGACCACATGCATTTTGTGTCTCCAGAGACAAGCTGGTTAACTTGGCCCCGTGAGCAGACCAGCTACAGCAGTCTGCACAGGAGTCCAACTTTTCTCTGTTAAGGAAAGACCAATTAAAAGGTAATGAGGTCACCAACGCTTGAGGGGAAGGACATAGAGGAAAAGCACACAGTTGTATTGGTTTTGGCAAGTCTCACCTTTATTCTATACAGTTTATAAAATATCCACCTTAAGAATTGAATTTGTGGGTCACATAGCGTTTTCTCCTTAGCTATTCCACTAGTGTTTTACCTTTTGTACAAATGCATATTCCTTCAAATTTGCTAATTACATTTTAAAAAAACCTCTCTAAAACCCAGAACGTATCACCACTTTCCAAGGTCCTTCCCCCATGGTCAATGCTGGCATTCACCTTGATTTCATTTCTCAATCTGTTGTAGGTCTTATGCACGGGCCCCTCCGCCTATGGAAGAGGGTACGGGCTTTGTTTGATGCTGACTAACGCGTGACAACATCGCCTTCTCCCCCTGAAGCCTTGGGCTGGATAATGGGGCTGACTTTGGTCAGTGAACTGTGAGTGGAAATGGCTCCTACCCCTCTGAGCAGAAGTCTTAAGAATCCTCGTGTGTCCTCCTCCTGTCATCAGACCAGCTGATAGCTGGTCCCTCAACCCAGGGCCCTGAGAGAAGAGCCAAAGCTCACCCAAACGGACATCAGCTCTGAGCGAGAAATAACTCTTTCGTGCTGTAAGTCACCGAAATTTAAGAGCGGTTTGTTATTGCAGCATAACTTAGCCCAAAACAACTGCTTACAAGGTGCTATTGTATATTCGTAAAGCTGATTTTCCACACATGACACTGGCATGTCTCACACCTTATGGTTTCTAGTCTTATTTTATTCAGATTTTTAAGAACTCAGGAATAGCTATTGCATTTTATCAACTGTCTTTTTAGCATCACTGGTCAACACAATACGGCATATGGTGGTCGTCCCTACAATCTATCATCCATTTGGGGACTTGGATTATTAGATTTTACAGCATTGGCCACCCTTATCTTCCTGAGATCATCTCATTGGCTTACCGTGGACTGCTGCATTCAATGTGCTCACATGCTATCTGTATTTGCTTTTTATCTTTTCTCCTTAATGTGATTAGATGGTGGTTTATCTTGTGTTTTAATTTCCCCAAAGAAGCCGCCCATGGTTTTATTAGTCTTACTTGTTTCCAATTGATTTATACTTTTTATTTCTACAAATTCATTCCTTCTGTTTTCTCCTAGGTTTACTTATTTATTTTGTGCCTTTTTGTAACTGTTTATGTCGGCTGTTAAATTCATTTTAATCTTTTTTTGCTTAATATGTGAATTTAGGGCTATGAGTTTTCCCCTCAGCACTGCATTAGCTGTATTCCCGTAAGAAGTTTCCTAAACTTTCCTGATGAGAAGATTGAGTTGGGGGCACTTTTAAAGCTGAACCTCTAGGCCCCATCTCAGGCTCCCTGAATGTGAAATCTCCAGGTAAAGGACAGGAAAAATGGATTTTAACAAGCATCCCAGGCGAGTTATTAAAATTCAAGGAGTATGAGAAACACAGTTGTAGAGTGTGCTGTTTCACGTGGTTTCATTATTTGCTACATAATCTGCAATTCATCTTTGACTCAAGAAGCTTTAAATTTCTAGGGCGAAGAATTTTTTTTCTACTTTTACTGCATTATAATCGTGAGAATTTGTGGCATTTGAAATTTGAGTTTATTTTGAGGCTTAATATATAAAATGTTATATATATAAATATATATAATATATAACTAATATATAAATATATATGATATATACATATATAATATATAAATATATATTTGGTATGTATATTTATATATATACTATATGTAGTATATATATAGTATATATATATTTGGTACCCTCAGAGGGTGCCAAAAAAATATATACTTAAAATTATATTCTTAAATTTATAAAATTATATTCTATAATTATAATAATTATATATTATAAATTATAATTATACATTATAAAATTATATATAAAATTATATTCTTAAAATGTATACACATTTTAAGAAAGGAAAAAACTGTATTACAATTGTAATACTCAATATATACCAAAAATAAGAGATGAATACAAGTCACATTTGACTTCTGCAATTACAAGAGGTGCTCAAAGTGGTTACCATCACATCATTTTATTAGTTTGTTCCTTTCTTAAAATGTGTATACATTTTTTTTGCACCTTTATAATTTTTTTCCCAGAGGCTCATTGAAAGAAGGTAGATTATGTTTGAAATATTCTATTTGAAAAATATCAATTTGATCTGCATTATTAACTCTGTTTGAAGTTTTCTATAGACTTATTTTTTGCCTACTTGCTTTGTCATGGGTGGAGAGTGGCAAGAATATAAAGACTGCATTACCTTTTGGTATATCTAGTTTTCTTTGTATTTGCTTCACGAAGTTGAATGCTATTTTGTTTTAAATTGTAAATAGATTTCTGTTACACTTAGATTTTCATTCTGGTTAAGTCTCATGTGAATGTTTCTACCCTTGCTGGCTTGCTTTTTGAATTTACCTCTTCTGTAAATAAGGTGAGTTTTAAAAAAATTATTTTGCTAGTTTATGCATTCACATTGTTCAAAAAAAGTATCAGGTTCTCCCCTCCCCTGCCCCGGGTGTGTGAAAACGTCTTTTTCCCTCTGTCTTATTATCTGACTGTTTCACATCGATTGCATCCCGACCCCAGCTCAGCATTCTTAGTTCTTAGGTAGAGTTCCCAAATTTCCTTCTGCATCTATAAATGAATGATAATAGATGCGCTTTTCTACATGAGGGTTCCCCCTCCCCGTTCTTGTAACATTCTCAGTAATGAATGAGACACGTCTTTATATTTACCTGTATAGCATTTATTGGATATAATATGCTTAACAATGACTTTTCTACGGAAATAGCAGGTTGTGTTACCTGGAGAACCCCCAATATGAGAAATGTGTACAAAAGTAATGGACTGTAACATAAAAAGGTATGTGGAAAAAAAATTAGCAAACCAAAGCATTATAAATGGATGAAGCACTATAAAGTTAATGTACTGGTTTAGTAGCTATAAGTTTGCACTGTGCTGAGTGGCCTGTAGCCAAGTGTTAAAGAGTTATGTTGCCACACACATTCCAACAATGGCCCTTCCCTCCAGCCTCCGAAGGTATAAGAGAACGTTAGCGCTGCCATGACTCGTCCTGCCTGGGACGCTTCGAGGATTTTTCTGTCTTACTAATCTGATGTATTTTTTTCTATCACTGCTTATAGGCCATGGACACAGAGGTCATTCCACTTCTTTGTAAAACTAAACATGATCACATGATATGTATTCTTTTGTCTGGATGTAAATGTGCTAAATTGAGGACTAAGAGATTTTTTTTTATGGAAGGAGAAGCACAGGGCGGATATAGGGCATGGCTTTTGAAGATGGGAAATCAGGTTGGTTATAGAGCGTTCAACCTGGAAGAGTGGAATCACACTGAGGATTCCTTTAATTGTGTTAAATCTTCCGGCTATGACTTGAACATTATAACAATTTTACACAAGTGTTCTTTCTAGCTTCTCTCACAGGAAACAGGTTCTGAATGGCTGGACTGTAAGGCCCCTGCTGTCCCCAAAGTAAAGAGGGGGTCTTCTTGATGAAAGGCGGGAAACAGCTCCTTCAGTAGGTGAGTGGCTTCTGGGAGCACCCTCAGCCTGAGGCTCACCAGTCTGTCTTAATGTGTTACTTATATCACTATCAGAGTTTTCAGATTGGCTTAAAAGAAATAGATGCCAATGGGAACCATAGGGTAAGGCCGGAGGATTTTGCGGCTACAGGTACACTGATTTTCTATGGCCCGCTCCCCCTTGCAATTAGAATAAGTCTTTAGGCCGGAGGTCACTATGGGGTGATGTGCCTCTGGGAGGGGCTCTGCTGGGTTCGAGGCGGGTGGGGTAACTGGTGGGGTGGCTCCGAGCTGCAGCCCTGGAGAAGGCTGGGCTTTGGGTGGGCAAGGGGTGGACTTGGGGCAGCCACACGCTGCAGCAGTCACCACTTTGGCTGACCCAAAGGAGCTATGAACACAGATTCATCCGAGATTGGAGAGGCATCAGCACAGGGTCTGACGTGGGAAAGGGACTTGTGCACAGGTGACAGGGACAGGCAGAGAGATGTGTGTTAGCCTTGGCTCCATGTCCGGATGGGGTTATGGGCCTGCTCATGAGTCACGGGAAGTAAGTGTGGGAGTGCAGGGCTGGCCTCTGAGGCGGTGAGGAGGACACAAGATGGTACCTGCAGTGTCGCCCACTGCGATGTCACCCATAGTGTGTGGAAGCCACAGCCTGAGAGTCACGCCTGGGGGTCAGTGTCAGCACTGGGAGACTTCTGGGAGGGTTGGTGTAATGTTTATCTGTGTCACTTGTGTTTGGCTGGGGTCGTGTGACAGCAGTGAGGAAGGACCTCCCGACCACGTGTGCCCTGGGCTTCCTGCTCTCAGAACACCAGGTGAGACTCCATAGCAACAGTTTTACATGAAATAAGCCTCGTGAGGAAAGTCTGCACAGGGCGAGGCTGCATGAGAGAGACCCAGCCCGGCTGCCCAGGCGCCATGCCTGTGCAGTTGTCAGGTCTCGTTGGCTCAGCGTGCTCAGTAAACATCAGTCGCGAGGTGGCACAGATGCTGGGGCATTCTATCTGGCCCAGCAGTGGGCTCTCGCTAGCACCATGGGAGATCACAGGCTCCTAACAGTCTGACACCGCTCAGAGTTTTAGCTGATTTTCTTCTCGGGGATACATTGATGTACTGTATTGATTTGCCAGAGAACAATAGCCTCTGGTTTCAGCCTGAGAATTCCTCATAAAGTTAAGAAGGCATAAAAATGTCCCCTCTGAGACTAGTCAGGAGTATTTATTCTCATGTAGTTTAATTTGTTGCTTTTGTGGTTCTGTGATGTCATCCCACATGTGTGAGCTGGAAAAATTCCCACGGGGAAGCGTAACCTCTGTGTGCATATTTTGACAATGGAAAATGTTATGCATTGTTTCTTTCGGTTGCTACACATCTGATTCCATGTGTCAGGGAAACAAACTGTTACAAAAAAAATTTCAGGAGATAAAGTTTTAAATAGAATGCCTGGGAGATTAGCAGTATACTTCCCAGTAAAGTGGGGTCATAGACCTCACAACCATAATAAGATGAAGAAAAGTGATGACCCTCAGGACCTACTGTGTGTCTAGGCACATTGACTTTCTCAGTGACGGCCTTGTAAACGCAAATCAACTCTATTATTCATGCCTATAAAATTTTTAACAATATTCAAAATAGGCAGCCATTGACATATCAGTATGGATTTTTGTTTCCATCATCTATGAGGATATAAAAAGAGGGAGGAATACCTCCTCCCCGCAAAAAACCTGGCTATTGCGTCCTTTCCTAAGTGATATTAAAATGGAAGTTATTGCTAAATATGTCTCATTTGATAAATACTGCACCGTGGAAGTAGTATTCCTTTGATATTATCTGTCTATTGTAAGGGGACATTAGATTTAAATATGTTCTTATCCAGAAATAAATTGCATGGCTCTATAAAAACAATTAGTACTGCAGAGATAAGAATGTACAAGTATCATCAGCGGCAGCCAGTAAGTGACCACTGATGACATGGTGTTAAGATCACAGCGTTAACCTCCTTTAATAGCAAACGATTCCTGGTTCTCTGAAATAGAAGCACAGGAATTATAGCGAAGGACAGACAAGAAAAAAAAAAGTTCACATCCTCTCCCTCGCATTAGGAGGAGGGGCTAAAATGCCAGATGTAAGGAGTTGGACATCTATAAAGACAATACCCACGTAATGCACCATAAAAATTCTGTAAACTTCAATAGTATATGTTTTGGCCTTAATACAATTACCACATGTAATAGCAATCACAGTAATTCTGTATGTGCTCATCAGCAGTAATATTTTCTAACATGACTTTACATTTTTAAGAAATTAATAATTGTATAATAAACAGAAACATGCTACAGGAGTTGGAATGTATCAGAGTTGGATTCCCTTTTGTGTGTGTTTGGGACAGGGACTTATTTAGTTTACCCAGGATCATGAATACCATTTTGCCTAGATATGCTGGGGACACACCGGGACAGTTAAAATGCAGTCTTGTTTTCAGGAAGGCATACCAAGGTTCTTGGTACGTTTTGTCTTTCTACTTCAAGTCATAGAAAAACCATTGAAATTGACCCCAATGAAGTCTTTAGTTCCATAATTCACTCTGTTTTATGATAATATAAAAACTAGTCACATGTGAGACCCACTAGGAAGATGGAGGCATAATGGCATTTTCCCTTGTCTGGGTGTTTTGTAGCTTTCGTGCCATTAGATACAGGCATCTTCAAGCTCTCCTCCTGAAAATGGCTCCCCAAGTCAGACATCTGGAGGGTAAAAGGTTGTCGGGGATGCTACCCAAGACTGCATTTTGTGAATATTTAGGATTGGGAAATTGATTTCCTTATCACAGTCTGTGATGCTCAACAGGTAGGTTGCAAGTTTTTAATAGATTCCGACTTTATGCTAAAAACACCTTTTAAAAATTCCTGCAGCCAACTGGGGAAAATAGGATACCCCCAAAAGAATTTACTAGTAACCTATGGTCCTTTGTCTAATATGTACTAACAAGGACAGCAGACATAGCTGATACCAGTGAGCACAGCGTCCATTGGGCTGTAGTTTTTGCAAGCATAGGGATTCTGCCTAATTTTGAATAAGTTGAATCTTGCCGTAAAGGGAGCTTTTTATCTACAGAGTTGATTCACTAGATCTGGTTACTGGTTCACATCTGAAAACAGTTATGGTCCCACAAAAAGCCTCATCTGTCTGTCTGAACAGAGAATCATTGTGTTACAGTGGAGAAGACAAGGTGGTAATTTGCTTAGCGCCAAACAGGACAGGGAGATGGAGGCTTGCAGTGCCCGGGCAGTAGCTCCTTATAGAAACACCACATTTCCCAATCCAAGTCAGGTGCTGATGCCAGCACTCTGTAAAGGGCAGCCAGGAAAAGATGGATTTGGTGTTTCTATCAAGCAGGCTGTTTTGGCTGCTCTCCAAATATGCTCGTGGCCAGGGAGCTCAAGGTCAAGTTTCTGTCTGGCCTTGTGTTCCAGCCTCTATCCTGGGGTAGCCTAGCCGCACCTGAAAATTCCTCTCTGAAACCCAGCGTCTCTCCAAAGCGTCCCCACCGGAAGCCACATCCTTACCCGCTATCCTGGAGCTTCAAGGAGTAGCCCCTGGTGGGCCAGCCTGTCAGCTACGACGGGGCCCAGGGGCTCCCTGAAAACCAAGCACAGCCTGGACCTGAAGCCCCCGGCCTAAGATGAGGGGTTCCAGAAAATCACTCAGGGTTCTACCTGGGGTCTCTTGAGCTGTGTCTGGTACCATAACCACAGCTTTGGGTAGCTGGGGGGTTGCTCTCCCATAAAGCCTTGATCAGAAAGTAAACATCCTGTCCAGAATCCCAGAAAGCATGATATTTCAAGTTCACTAAACTATGAAAAGCACAAGAAGCCTTCCTTCCATGGAAAACTCAGTGATGGTAAAAAAAAAAACCGCTTCCTACAGCGCACTGCACTGTAGCAAGCATTCTGCATAAATTAATAATTTACAAGTACCTGAGCAAGTATACAGAGCACCATAGCACAGCACAGCACCGACGGCAGTAGCTCGAAGTTCTTAAAGTAATGGTGTTTTAAACATTAAAAAAATTCTAAAAGTTGGTACAAAAATCAATAACTCCAACTGGAGTTGAAAGATAGTGCAAACTTCTGTCTTCACTGTTGAAAAAGTGTTGGCTTGCTTCTTCTCACTTGGTGTAGGCGGTATGGGTGGGTCTGGGCACTTGGTGTGGACGTTTAGGAGCTGGTCTGCATTGAGAAAGGACAGAAACAAAACCGTAGTCAGAGGACTTGAAAGCGGTATCTGCAGGTACGGATGTCTGGGTTTGGATGTCTCTTCCTGCACTTCCGGGATGAGATCCCACCCCTTCATCCAGGATCTGAAGGCTGCTCTTGGTGTCAGCAGGGGTCACAGATCACAAGGGCCCAGGACGTCCTGCGGTTGGTGATGTCTGACACCTCCCATCCACAGGGGGGCTCTAGATGAGCACCATCCACTAGTAATGTGATGGGAACCCCATGTGTAATTTAACATTTTCTAGTAGCCATGGGAAAAAAAGTGAAAAATAGGTGAAACTAACTTTAGTAATCAATTTCACTTCACCGATAAATATACCCAGAGTAGCAGTGTTTCAACATAACGTTACTGACAGTTGACATTTTGGGGGTATGAGGTCTTCACAATCCAGTGTGTATTCGTGCTGACAGCCTATGTCATTTATTACCAGCCACAGGGTGCCTGCGGCTGCTGCACTCAATGGTGCAGTTCCGGGGTGCAAAGGCAGGCATGTGGGATCCCCACAAAGGGACTGTGCAAACTCTTCTCCTCCCGGGACAAGACCAAACCTGGCTTACACTGGTGACAGCAGTAAGATAGGCCACTGCTTGAAGGCCTTCCCTTCGTCATGTCCATGTAAAGTAGAGCTTTTTCTTTGGAACAAGAAAAGTAACTTTAAGATCAGCATACAAACCACAATGAAATAATTAGGATGCTCTGCAATTTTTCTGTCTTTATGCAGTCGGGAGTTAGACCACTGTCCTGACCCTTGACCGGCTTTATCTCTGAGATTTATTAGGCAGCTATCTCTGTCACAAGCCAAGCATTTTTCCCCAAAGCTGTAATGAAACCACTGATGTGTGCCTTCCCCCTTCAGAGATACTGAATTATTGAACCCAGGGCCTGGCCAACACGCTACCTTTCGCTCTTTATAGCTTGCAAATCAAGCTCCCTGCCACGGGGGCATGTGTGACAGAAGAGTGCCTTGGCTGAGCAGTTAGCCCACCTGCACGCTGGTACATGTTTAAGTACCCACCGCGGCAAGGGAGGAGGGCCTGATTTGTAGCGTTTGCCTATTTCCATGGGTTCATTACCCAGGTTACCAACGTGAGGCGGCGGCACGTGGAAGAGATGGGCTGTGGCCACTGTTATGTAGTATTTCCACCATACAGGAACAACTGATGCAGGTAACCCCAAGAGCATAGGTAATAGTAAAACATAGTTAAAAAGAAATGGAAGGGAGGCGTTTTGGGCATTTATCACATTTGTTTCAAAATATAATTTATATCGCTGTAAGTATGTAATTTAAAAATTTAAGAGTGGCTAGGTTTAACACCTGGCTAACAAAATTCCTGCAAATTTAATAGCTCTCGAAAACCAGTGTGGGCTGGCTGCAGCACACCATTGGGCTTACCTCCTGTGTAAGTTAGGATTCAGGACTAGGCCTTCCTCCTGCTCTGTGGGACAGTGTAAGATGACCCCAGCTGCAGAAAGGTCTCAGGGTGACTCTTTTGTTAGTTGTCCAGAGACACTCCCACTTATGTCAGGTCTCCGACCAGCTTTGGTAGCGTGACCCCTTAGAGTTCTCCTGTTTCATCTATGACCCGCCATCCCCACCTCACTTTTCAGGACCCCAGGGATTGGGCAGAGGTTTTTTGGAGGTATGTGTCCACCCTTCATAATATCACACCATTTGGGAGTTTTCTTCTTTGTCTCTTTGGGGCACGTGGCCTGGCCTCAATAGCCTCAGCTTTCCGGGGTACACTGTCTAGTGCTCCTGGGTCTTGCTTTGATCTCTTAGGCACACTGGGGCTATTGCTAAGACTCACATGATGATGCCTGTGATTATAAGCTCACAATTGCCTCCTGGATATTTTTATAGTTGCCTGTGCATCTGTTTATTTTGTTCCCAGCTGTGGGGAGTACAGGAAGCCTAGACTGTCCCCCAGCACCCCCGTCCTGACGTGGTCTGAAAAGCACTGATGCAGCTGCCCCACACAGTTTGGGGGAGAAGAGGACAGGTGTGTCTGCATCACACCAACCTGATGGGCGCCAGGCAGAGCCCAGACTCCTGCGGTCCCAGGGTCCTGGCTGAGGCATTGGCGGGCCGGGTCGTCTTGCTCAAAGGGTCCGCAGGCAGAGGCTTCTGAGGAGGGTTCGGCTTACGAGTTCCCTGCAGTAAAGCACATGATTATGCATGATCACTTGTCTCTGTGAACTGGGACAAGACACTGACTGCAGGAGCCGTCAGAATGCCCTGAAAAGTGGGGCATGGAGGACGGTAACTTGCTGTGCAGTGCAGTCTTATTTCCTGAGTGAACTTTCTGAATCCTCGCACCATCCTGGGAGTGGGGTGAGGGTGGAGGGGTGGGAGGTGGCGGCAGGGCTGGCCTTTGGTAATCTGCTTGCCAAAATCTTCTCTCACATTTCAGAGCCCTTCACAGGATGACACAGGTACAGACACACAGATGCCGTGCTGTGCACTGGCCTTGGGGGACAGGCAGGGGATGCGGTATTTAACCCAGGGGATTAAACTTGCCCGTGTCTTTTGGCTTCATTTCAATTTGTAAAGGCCTAAAATGAGAAGTTGGTGACAATCTTCTTAAACATCACATTCCTGTGTCTTCAGATTTCCCAGGATCCTATAATAGAACTCATTCAACTGTGGATGCGTTAGCTAACGAGGCTGGTCACCATCCCTCAGTGTAGGGTCACTGTGCCAAATGTTGGTCCAGATTGAGCAATGAAAGGCACTAACGTACGCCTACCAAAACACTCTTTAATAATTAGCTCAAACTGACCTGGACAACGAGGCCCAGAAGGAAAACCCAAGACACAGTGGCTTGAGGGATGGGTATAGCTCTCCAAGGAAGCTAAGAAGAGGGCATGACATTGACCAGAGCCCAGCTAGGGAGTCGGCAAATAGAAGAGCATAAAGGGCAAAGCTTGAACTTGGGAGTTACTCTACTCTGAGTTTTATCCGAAGACCAATGCTTTCAGACTTGTGCAAGTCACATGACCCTTCTGAGCCTCAACTTCTCCCTCTGTACAATGGGCAAAAACAAGGCCTATCTCATAGCGCTGTAATGCTGACTAAATAAAATAATGCACCAGGAGGTCCCAGAACACAGATAACAATTATTAATAACAGTGTTCCCTCATGCCACAAGTTTAAAAAAGAAAGGGAATATGAGAAAGACATTAGAAACAGTATATAACAGTGAAATCACAAGTCACTTGCTTTTGGGGGACCTCTTCCTTGGCCACCCGTGGGAGGGCAGGTCCCTGGGGCCGGCTGGGGAGTCGGTCAGTGGTGACAGTGTTCTCATCTGGGGCGCAGGGTGAATATGGGGCTCTGGTCCTCAGAAGCACTCATGAACTCACAGAAAGTCGGGGGCAAATGGTGCTAGAACCTCAAGGGAGACAGGCCACCCTGATAAGCAATCTCATTAGTTGTCCTAGGACTCTATTCCATACATCCAGGAAGCCTCCAGGTGAAGACACGTGAGTTGAATTTCTCGCGGTACTTATCCCACGAGAATGACATTTCCTCAGCAAGTGGCGCTCAGCCGGAAGGACAGCGCAGCACCATCACCACTGAACATGTGTGTGAAGCAGAGAAAGCTCGCACAGCTGTATGGAAAACCTGCCCCCTTGAGACAGTGGGCAAAGTGAGAGGGGAAAGAACCACTGAGCAGGGACAGACCCGAGAGTGACACTTCTACATCAGGTCTCATGAAAGGAAACAACAGGCTTGACTAGAAAACGGAACACATTCCTTGACTAAGAATAAAGACCCCAGAATGTGGCTGTTTGCAGTCATCCAGGTTCTGCGCTCAGCAGCTCTGTAAGCGCACGTCAGTTATTTAACTTCTTTAAGTTGCAGGGAGAGAATGGTAACAGTCCCTCCCACGTGGGGCTGAGGTGAGGATTACATGAGATGTTATTTATCTGTGCATTTCTGTACCAAAGTCACGCTCTCAGCACCAGCCCTGGCACACGGTCTCCAGGGCAGCAGACTGCCATCTGACCGCTGGTGGAGTAAATTTACCATCTAAAAGCACCATAACCCTACCAAGAAACTCTGGGTAATAAACCGTGGCAATAAACTGAACTCCATTTCCTATTAGGTGGCAGAAAACTGAGAAAGATATTAGTGTCTAATGTAGAAATGAATGAATGTACCCATAAAATTGAAAGACTTTGAGGATTAAATAATTCATTACTAAATGATACTAGTTTTGCTACTAAGTATAATAAGTATCTAGACTTGGCAATAAAGATAACGGCAGGTTTTTATTGCAGTGCTGGAGAAAAAAATGAGATATGTTATATTGTATCACAGTATATTTGGATTTATCATGGGAACTTGGCCTGGCCATTCATCCTGGTTTGCCTGGGCTATCCCAATGTATGTTTATGGCCCTGTTTAATTATTAATCACACTCTCTCAGATGTGGCCTGGTTTAGAGGATAAATTATGTGGTCACCATAGTGATAAAAGCCCAAACAGTTGAGACTGAAAATTCTGACTGCCACCGTGGGGATCAGCGAAGGTGCCAGTCCACTTCCTCCTGCCATGGCCATGTGGTTTTGACAGGACCATGAAACAGGACACACTCACAGATGCTGCCCCAGGTAAGATGCCGGCTTCCCACCGGGCCCACCTGGGACAAAGTGGCACAGTGGAGTGGGGCTAGTGAAAGGTGATGCATCTCCCCCTCAGATGTCAGCATGGAGATGTGGAACCACAAAACATTCAGGAAGAAGTACCGCAGCACACACTTTGACCTTGGAGGGAGGGGTAGAGTTTCTGCATTCCTTCTCAGGCGTTGCTTTTCATGCTGCCTTTGCAAACCCTGAACATGGGCTCCCCAGAGAGGTCCCGCCCAGCCTGGCCACAAAGTCATCTGAAGGGAGCTGAGAAATGACCCCACACCCAGCTGCTCACACTCAATGCAGATTCCTTTAGTCCTATTTTCATTTTAAACAAGAAAGCAAGGCATTCAGACCCCCCTGTTCTTCTCCCTTTTCAACTTCTAGATATTGGAGATATGCTGCCAAACAGAGTTGTCCCAGTTCTCCATTTTATGCTCACGTTCTAACAGGAGCCACATATTTCAAATGTTGTGGAGGACTGAGAACAATTTCTAAATCCAAATATAGCCCTTTGCCTTGAGCACCGTCATCAAGAATTCTCAACTGTTATCTCCCTCTGCATGACAAGCAAAAGTAAAGGCATCCTGCTTGTCCAGAGAGGTCTCCACAGGAAGACGGGATGTTATCACAAGAAGCTGCCAGAGATGCCACAGAGATCAGACGGGCTCATGCCGGGACTGGGGCAGCATAAACACTGACGCTCAGCCTATCTGGGCCCTGTGAGGAATATACACTTGGAGATAACACTAAGGACAACTGGTTCCCAGAGAAATGCCTCAAATTCTTTGTATTCTTTGTTCAGGAAAAGCAGGGCATCTTGACAAATCTGCTCTCTTAAAAGAACACTTTTCACCTAGCTGTAAGATGTCCCTGGTTCCTTCTTTCTGAAAGTACCCGAAAACAGTAAAGCAATGCACAAAAAGGAGCAAAACTCTTTGAGGAAAACTTTTAACCCCAAACAAATACATGGAAAAGGGGTGCCAAGTATCCAGCAGGCTAGGGGAGGAAAGACCAGGAGAAGGGCTGCGTGCTGTGGTCAACCTGGCAGAGCGCAGAGGGCAAAACATCCACCTGTGCTTGGAACAGGAGGCGACAGTGAACAGATGACCATGTGTCTGGGCTGAAGAAGTAGTAGCCCAGATGGTCCCGCCACCTGTGCAGTCCTGGAGCGGGGGCAGGGTGGGATGTGGGGGGACCTGGCCGAGTCTGTGCCGAAAGCGGGGAAGTCAGATCATCATCATCTCTCAAAGCCCTTTGTCCCGTGGCCCCCGCGGGGCAGGCACCTTGGAGCTGGCCCTGAGCACTGGCCTGGCGCGCCCTCCCCCTCCCATCCTGTAACAAGGTGTTTCCAGGAAGGACTCCCTTCCTTTAAACAGGAGTCTAGACACATTAAACTAGTGCAAGAAAGAGGAACCATGATAAACAAAAGGCAAAGTGAGAACCCACCCTGAAAAAAAAATGTATACATAAGGAAATGAAAGGGAGCTAGCAAAAGTTGAGAGAAAAGGGAAAGAAACAAAACAGTGGTGAAAACCAAGGACCAAGATAGCACTAAACCCAGTCGAGACTATGGGGGTCCTGCTTGCAAGAGTTCAAGGGGGGTAGACAGTAAAAGATAAAGACCATACACAAAGGTAATACAACATGTACACAGATGATGTTACTTAAGGAATCTTAGCAAATTGTAAGATAGAAAAAAAATACCCAGATTTAATTTGCAAAAAGTCAAGTCTATGTGTGAAGGTCTGACAATTAAGTTCTCAAACTCATCCTAGAAAAAGTGCTACATACCTCATTGCTGAATATCACCACAGTCACCTTCCAAGTGCTCCCCTTGGAAAGCTATGCACTGATGCCAGTGCCTAGTCCACCCTTCAAAGCAATTGTGGAACTCTTTCTGGAGTGGCCATCAGAGCTGTTGTCATATTACTCTTGATGTCCTGAATGTCATCAAACTGTCTTCCTTTCAATATTTCCTTTATCTTTGGGTAAAGAAAGAAGTCATTGGGGGCCAGATCAGGTGAGGAGGGAGGGTGTTCCAATACAGTTATTTGTTTACTGGCTAAAAACTCCCTCACAGACAGTGCCGTGTGAGATGGTGCATTATTGTGATGCAAGAGCCATGAATTGTTGTCGAAAAGTTCAGGTCGTCTAACTTTTTCACACGGCCTTTTCAGCATTTCCAAATAGTAAACTTGGTTAACTGTTTGTCCAGTTGGTACAAATTCATAATGAATAATCCCTCTGATACCAAAAAATGTTAGCAGCATCGTTGCAACAAGTTTGAAAATTTAATTGTCAGACCTCATATTCAAAGAGCACACTGTTTCCCTGGGGGCAATGCATCCGACTATTCAGTGTTAAGACTTATTAAAGCTACTGCACTTCAAGGATACAGCATTGTGAGTATTATCCAGACCCAAACAAGTCACTCACAAAAATAAAAGAAAAAACTAGCTTATGATTTCTCCAGGGCAGACAGAGGAAGCATGCGTGTAAGATTTTCAGGGAAGG